TTGAGGGGGAGGGAGCTGGCTGGGGTGCAGGGGGAGGGTGGTCTGGGGTGCATTGAGGAGGGAGCTGGCTGGGGTGCAGGGGGAGGGTGGTCTGGGGTGCATTGAGGAGGGAGCTGGCTGGGGTGCAGGGGGAGGGTGGTCTGGGGGTGCAGTGAGGGAGAGGAGTTGGCTGGGGTGCATGGGGGAGGGGTGCTCTGGGGGTGCATTGAGGAGGAGGGAGCTGGCTGGGGTGCAGGGGGAGGGTGGTCTGGGGTGCATTGAGGAGGGAGCTAGCTGGGGTGCAGGGGGAGGGGTGCTCTGGGGGTGCATTGAGGAGGAGGGAGCTGGCTGGGGTGCAGGGGGAGGGTGGTCTGGGGTGCATTGAGGAGGGAGCTAGCTGGGGTGCAGGGGGAGGGGTGCTCTGGGGGTGCATTGAGGAGGAGGGAGCTGGCTGGGGTGCAGGGGGAGGGTGGTCTGGGGTGCATTGAGGAGGGAGCTAGCTGGGGTGCAGGGGGAGGGGTGCTCTGGGGGTGCATTGAGGAGGAGGGAGCTGGCTGGGGTGCAGGGGGAGGGTGGTCTGGGGTGCATTGAGGAGGGAGCTAGCTGGGGTGCAGGGGGAGGGGTGCTCTGGGGGTGCATTGAGGAGGAGGGAGCTGGCTGGGGTGCAGGGGGAGGGTGGTCTGGGGTGCATTGAGGAGGGAGCTAGCTGGGGTGCAGGGGGAGGGGTGCTCTGGGGGTGCATTGAGGAGGAGGGAGCTGGCTGGGGTGCAGGGGGAGGGTGGTCTGGGGTGCATTGAGGAGGGAGCTAGCTGGGGTGCAGGGGGAGGGGTGCTCTGGGGGTGCATTGAGGAGGAGGGAGCTGGCTGGGGTGCAGGGGGAGGGTGGTCTGGGGTGCATTGAGGAGGGAGCTAGCTGGGGTGCAGGGGGAGGGGTGCTCTGGGGGTGCATTGAGGAGGAGGGAGCTGGCTGGGGTGCAGGGGGAGGGTGGTCTGGGGTGCATTGAGGAGGGAGCTAGCTGGGGTGCAGGGGGAGGGGTGCTCTGGGGGTGCATTGAGGAGGAGGGAGCTGGCTGGGGTGCAGGGGGAGGGTGGTCTGGGGTGCATTGAGGAGGGAGCTAGCTGGGGTGCAGGGGGAGGGGTGCTCTGGGGGTGCATTGAGGAGGAGGGAGCTGGCTGGGGTGCAGGGGGAGGGTGGTCTGGGGTGCATTGAGGAGGGAGCTAGCTGGGGTGCAGGGGGAGGGGTGCTCTGGGGGTGCATTGAGGAGGAGGGAGCTGGCTGGGGTGCAGGGGGAGGGTGGTCTGGGGTGCATTGAGGAGGGAGCTAGCTGGGGTGCAGGGGGAGGGGTGCTCTGGGGGTGCATTGAGGAGGAGGGAGCTGGCTGGGGTGCAGGGGGAGGGTGGTCTGGGGTGCATTGAGGAGGGAGCTAGCTGGGGTGCAGGGGGAGGGGTGCTCTGGGGGTGCATTGAGGAGGAGGGAGCTGGCTGGGGTGCAGGGGGAGGGTGGTCTGGGGTGCATTGAGGAGGGAGCTAGCTGGGGTGCAGGGGGAGGGGTGCTCTGGGGGTGCATTGAGGAGGAGGGAGCTGGCTGGGGTGCAGGGGGAGGGTGGTCTGGGGTGCATTGAGGAGGGAGCTAGCTGGGGTGCAGGGGGAGGGGTGCTCTGGGGGTGCATTGAGGAGGAGGGAGCTGGCTGGGGTGCAGGGGGAGGGTGGTCTGGGGTGCATTGAGGAGGGAGCTAGCTGGGGTGCAGGGGGAGGGGTGCTCTGGGGGTGCATTGAGGAGGAGGGAGCTGGCTGGGGTGCAGGGGGAGGGTGGTCTGGGGTGCATTGAGGAGGGAGCTAGCTGGGGTGCAGGGGGAGGGGTGCTCTGGGGGTGCATTGAGGAGGAGGGAGCTGGCTGGGGTGCAGGGGGAGGGTGGTCTGGGGTGCATTGAGGAGGGAGCTAGCTGGGGTGCAGGGGGAGGGGTGCTCTGGGGGTGCATTGAGGAGGAGGGAGCTGGCTGGGGTGCAGGGGGAGGGTGGTCTGGGGTGCATTGAGGAGGGAGCTAGCTGGGGTGCAGGGGGAGGGGTGCTCTGGGGGTGCATTGAGGAGGAGGGAGCTGGCTGGGGTGCAGGGGGAGGGTGGTCTGGGGGTGCGCTGTGGAGTGAGCTGGTTGCAGTGCAGGGGTGGGGTACAATGGGGTATATTGAGGAGGAAGGAGCAGTCTGGGTGGGTGCATGGGTCAGGGGTGGGATGTATTGAGTGGGAAGGAGCTGGGAAGGGTGCATTGGGGCGTCCTTGAGGGGGAGGAGACTAGCTGGGTGGGGTGCCCTGGGGTGGATTGATGGGGAGGGGGCTGGTTGGGGTGCAGGGGACGGTGGGATGCATAGGGGTTTCAGTGAGGCAGAGGGAGCTGGCTGGGGGCACACTGGGAGCGATGGGGTACACTGGGGCACAGGGTAGATGAGGAGAGGGAAGGATCTGGCTCTGGAGTGCATGAGGGTGAATCTAGGGATGGGAGTAGCAAGGGGATGGATGAGGGAAGGGAGGGGGAGCTTGCGGGCAGAGTGCAGCTGGGGGATGCATTGAAGATGGGAGGGGGAGCAAAGGAAGGGAGGGCGAAGTCAGGAGCAGAGGAAGAGGGTGGGGGAGGAGGGAGCAGGGGGAGGGGAAGGGGCAGGGAAGCTGGTGGGGAGGGTGCCTTCAGCTGGCAGCAGCTTGTGGCTCTCTTTTGTAAAGCTGCCCCCTTAGAGATGTTAATGCAGCTCGGGCTGTCCCCGTGCCGGCTCCTGTGAAGGACGCTGGCCCACAACAGAGGCAGGGGCTTGAGGTGCATTGTCCCCTCCTGAAGCTCTGACAAAAGGCTGCCCTTTTGCTTTGCAGGGGCATTCGGGGGGCCGGAGGCTGCTGTGCGAGAGCTTCGTTCGCAGGAAGGTGAGTGGAGAGGGGTGTGTGTGGCTCCGGAGTCAGACCCTGGGCACTGCCCAGTTTTATGCAGTGTAACTCCAGTGACTGCAGCAGGTTGCTCTTGGCTCAGGCCAGGGTAGGTGGGAGCTGGGACAGTGCCAGTTTGGCTGGCCTTAGTGGCTGCGTGGGTTGAGGTAGGGCGCCGTCCTGGTTGCTAAGGATGGTCAGTGATGCTTTGTTTATACTCGGAGAGAGCAAAGCAGGATTCACAGAGCCACTTTGCTTTGCAGTTAGATAATAGAATAGCCCCTTCTTGTCCCTGCGTGGGATTGCCCGGGGGCGAGGGGGAGAGTAAACCACACCGCTGGGCTATTTGGCTGGAATATAACCCAAACCTTCCTTCCTAATGCTCTTCATAATGCCCTCCTCCGCGAAGGAGCGGGCTGGCTTTCCGTCATTACCGCTGGTGTCTCTTTGCATTTCGCTGGGCTTGGACAATAGAAACCGGCTAGTCAGTTTCATTGTTGATGCTTATCCATTGCCTCCTCTGGCTGCCCGGCACCTGCACCGCGCTGCCAGGTTTGGGTTTGGTTGCCATCCACATGAGCTCTGTTTTTTATTGACAGACTCGAAACCCGGAGGCTGTTTCCGTGAAAAGATGTTTGTTTTGTTTTAGAAGTTTGGGGTGTTTTTTTTAAAGATACATTTTGGGCCTAAATGACCTAACTTTATACTTATAGAAACAGATGCTGACTGGTCTTGAGCTTTTATAATTTATCTGATAATTTGCTTGTTACTTTCAGGGATAGCTTTGCTTTCAGTAAGTTTACAGACTGCATCTGCTGCCTGGTAGTAAAATGTGAGCTCTTAAGATTTTGGACCGTCTAGAAAGCTGTACGGCAGAAGGCAGGGCAGGGACACACTGCTTCTAATAAGGAGCAAATCCTGATTCTCTGAAAGTCCCTGGTTTTGCATTTGATCCACTAGGGCTCCCCACTGCCATCCCGTAGATTTAGCTGCAGGACTGGGTGCTCAGAATTGGCATAGAAGCCTAGGAGAATTGTAAAGGGGGGGAAGGGGAATGTGGGGTTATTACCTGCTGGGTGAATTCTTTTTCTTTTTTTTATCCTTTCCATCTTTTTGGATTTTCACTTGCCCAACTGAGGGAAAATGGTAATAAAAAGGTTACAGTGCTAAAAAGCCTGATGCCTGCTATTAAGTAGATGCTCAGTGAGTCAGCATTGATAGGCTAAGGAGAGACAAAAGATTTATCAGAGCAAGTGCAGGGTTGAGAACTCCTTGCAAATTACGTAATTGCTTATTGCCAGACATATGGGATGTTGTGGGACAGATCTGCCGCTTGCTTTGTTTACTTCCAAAATAATTATCTGTGTGTATATACCTTGGGTTTTAGCACACCCAGATTTCTAAAGTTGTTGCAATATAAGAACTACGGCAATTTGCAGAATCAAAACGGGCATATTGTTTTTCCATAGTGATGGGAAGGCTTATTATTGAATGAACCTATTACAATGCAAATACTGAAGTGTTGTGAATATTCAAAACAGGGAGCTTTTTTCTGAACTATTAACGTGCATTATAGCACTTTATACACAATTTATCCTTTGCTACTCTGTCAGGGAGTGCAGTGTGGATAGCAGAATTCCTTTTCTCTGCCAACTTTAAAAGGCTTGATTGGAAATACAGGCTGTGTGGAATAATTAGAGGGGGGAACACGGTGACAGATGAGCGCATGGTTCAAAGTGTCTAGTGTTGGACTACAAAAATGATTAGTATTCTCAATGGGAAAGTGCAGATGCCAGCTGTAGAAGGGACTGTGGTCGTGACCCTTGAAAAGAGTCCAGTGTGTTGTAACGTGACTTATGGATACTAGGGTGTCATTTGCAAAATTGTCTTTGGGTTTTTTTTTTTCCATTCTCCCCTTTGGTATCTCTTGCTCCCATTGCCTTTTGGCATTGTCTGACACATCAGGGAACTGTTACTCTCCTGAGATGAAATAAGGCACAGCAAGAGGCATGCATTTATTTTAGAAATTATTCATTTGCAGAACATAAATATTGGAAATAGGTGGTGAGTCATGCTCATGTAGACGCTGCCTCAGATGGCTATGAGAGAGTTCATTAACTGGGCGAGCTAACGACTTTAGATAAGACAACCCAATCACAGCCCTTTCAGTGAGTTCCAGTATCAGTCATTTCATGGATGTTTTATTTCTCTTGTGAAAAGTCATATTCAAAAAGGACCCGTTTTTCCCTCCTAGCCACATGCATGTCCTATTGTCAGATCAGCGGAAAGAGAAGAATACCTTACAATTTAACCTGTCAAACTAGGATCCTGCTTTTCAGTGTGGGAGGAGTGCTGCAAAAATGGCTTCTTGTCTTGTGCAATTGATGTTCTTGTTTTAAGGGTAGTTTATGATGCAGCACTCCAATAAGAACGTCTAGCTGGCAATCAGTCAGATTTGCAAAGAACACTAATGGTAAAACCATAGGTACCCCCTCCTTGCTATTTCTCGAAAGGAATTACTTTTGTGATTTGTAGAGAATAGCTTCTTGGTAAATATAAAAAAATTAGAGATCAGCAGCTTAGAGAAACGCAAAATAACTTAAATGGACAGGATCAGATGGGCTATGGAAATGGAAAAAGACTGTAAGTAACAGTCCTGTAAAGGAAAGTGATCAACACACTGATTGGTTTTCCTCCTGTAATAACATTCCTTTGTTGTTGATTAAAGACTTGAAAGTGCAGTATTCACGTGTGCTGTGCTAGTTACGTGGGTCTTACCGTATCATGTTAGTGGTTGATCAGGTAAATCTATGTCTTCATTAGTTTTATACTAAAGCCTGAAGTTCTATATTGATTCAAGGCCTTACCATAATAAGTAGCCGTCACCTCTTGTGAGAGCTAAATTTAGCTTGAAATTTAGTTATATCGGGTCTCTGCAGCATACATTGTCCAGGTTACCTGGTTCTCTTGAGAAGGTAGATTTAATCCAAGAAGTCTGGAATTTAGCAGGAAGGTTAAATTAGTCTCCTCCACAATTGAGATTTTTTTTTTCCTTTCATCCTCCATGCTACTGGTTCTTATTATGATGCTTCAAAAAATGTGAGTGCAGGAAAGGGAGCTTCATTATAAATATTTATTATAATAGCCAACACGTCTTCTAAGCTTATTTTCTGTTAAGACCTTCCCATAAAACTTCCCTGATACTAACTGGGAATTTGCTACCCTATGTGCTTCTGTCGATGAATTTGTCCCTTTTAAAAAGTTTCACAACTTTCTGGCTTCACTGCTTGAGTAATTCTTAGAAAGGCTGAAGCCACCTTGAGGCTCCGATGAACGAAGAGCCGTTTTTCTGCGCTGCACCATCTGTTCAAACTTTTTAATTTGGGGAGAGCCGATGCCAGGACGTCAGCGCTGTAAAACCGATCCCGTGATGGCTTGAATGGGAGGCTGAACAAAACGACTTGAGCAAAATAAACCCCCTGGATATTTTTATATGGGAATAAAAAACGTGGCGACTGCCTCTCGCCGCTAGAGAGTGATCCCAGTGGTTGACTCCTATCAGCTGCTGTTTTTATTATGCACTAGTATGGGAAGCAACTGAGCAGTGAAGGACAAGCCAGACATCCCATCTAGCAGCTCAGCTGCTGGGCCATCTGGAGGGGAGATGAAAGGTCTGAGTTTAACTCTGGCTTTGTATTTTTGTTTTGTTCTCCCCCCCGCCCCCCAGGCTCTTTCCCCTGCCAATCTTCCTTCTCTCACATCTCCCCCACTGTCCCCCAGGGAACACAACCCTCAGCCTGGAGACAGCCAACGTCTTGCACTTGAAATTGCTGGAGGTCAGGCTGCGTGAATTTGGCTGCGTGGTGATGACTCGCGTTCTCCTCCTTGGCTTCTCTGCTGCCCGTTGGTGGTGTGTGAGCTCATCGAGTGAGAGCCTTTCAAGCTTTGCTGAATAATTCAGAGAGATGAGCAGGCATCTTGGCTCACTCCTGTGGTCTGGTGCTTGGATGATATTCCTGGAGGGGCTGGGGTAGGGTGCCCACGCCTCCCTGAACCCCCTTTGATTTTCATGGGTTTTGAAGCTGTCGAGATGTTGCTGGAAGATGCAAATTCCTTGCAGGGCTTTTCTCAAGGGCAGGGCAGTGGAGCATTTCTTAATAAATAATATATGGAGATATACCTATCTCCTAGAACTGGAAGGGGCCTTGAGAGATCGAGTCCAGTCCCCTGCCCTCACGGCAGGACCAAGCACCATCCCTGACAGATTCTTCTCTGCAGCTGGGGGAGATGGCGGAGATGTCTGAGTTCTGAACTGGTTGTGTTCCCAGAACTTTCCCGGCCATGGGCCGGCAATAGGCCATTCGGCGTGTCACTGATGTAGGGTTTGCTCTGCTAGCAGTGGCAGCCTGCGCTGCCCGTCGGTCTGGCTTTCTCGCTGACGCCGTTGCACTTGGTCCCATCCCTTCGGCGTAAGTGGCGCTCCCTGCAAAAATCCATAAGGCCGCCGTGGTCTCTCACCCCTCCTCGAGCTCCCCTCCGCTGGAATTCGTGCACAGCCCTAGACAATAGCCGGCATGCTTTGTGTCTCCCCCTGCCCACACCTGTCCCACCTGTTGTCCCGTCATATACTTGCACAGTAAGCTGTGTGGTGCAGGGACCATCCTTTTGACCGGAGTGTGTGAAGCACCGATTACAGTCGGCTCCCAACTGGGGTCCTAGGTTGTATGACAGGAAGGGTCCATTATGGAAAATCTTTTGCCCCCATCCCTCACCTTTTTCGTTTTTAAATCAGTGGCCTTTTCAGGTGCATCCAACTGCCGCGGCCAAGGTAAAACATGCAGGGCCAGCTGACTTGGAGGGGTGGTTTACAGGAAGGGTGTTAAATTGCGATTATCTGGCTAATCGTGTAGTCGATGCAGTTTGTATCGACTGCACGATTAGTCGACAAGGGGGCCCTTCACAGAGCCGCAGCAGATGCCAGCTGGAGCTGGGACTGAGCA